TCTTCTGACTGTGGCTGTGGCTGTGCCTGTGTCTGTATCTCTGCCTCTGTCTCTCTATGTCTGTCTCTGTGTCTGTGTCTTTGACTGTGGCTGTGCCTGTGCAAGTGTCTCTGTCTCTGTCTGTCTGTGTCTGTGTCTGCATCCGTGTCTGTGTCTGTGTCTGTGTCTGTGTCTGTGTCTCTGTGTGTGTGTGTGTGGGCGTGTGTTTGTGTGTCGTTTGCATGTCTGTGTGTGCATACATACATAAAACTATATATGCATATCTCTGTGTGTGTGTCCGTGAGCTTACATTTGCATGCATGCATGTATGTACGTTTCCACAGCACAAAAAGGCTCTTGCTGCAGCGACCGAATTCACATGCGTACATATACAGATAGGTAGATAGATACATAGATAGGTAGACAAATAGCTAGCTAGACAGATGGATAGATAGATAGGTATATAGATAGACAGGTAGATAAGTAGATAGGTAGATAGGTAGATATTTTTCATGATTGACAAATACAGATACATATTTGTGCGTTCTTTGTTCTACATATATATATATGGTGTTTAGAGGGAGCAGACAGGCAGACACATGGATGGATGTGGACATTAGCACGGAGAAAAGGGACGCACACCAAAACCGCATGGATTCGTGCCACCAGCAATCTGCCGTACACACCAGGCACCCTCCCGTATCTTTGCCGAGGTTCAGCTCGCCTTTCCAACTGCCCCACCGCGGAGACGAGAAGCACGGGGCTGACGTTGTGACTTCTGCGATCATGATTCATGAACACTCCGATTAACGGCCTCACCCTAGACGGCCAAATGGGTAATGCTTGTGCGGTTGCTGAGATTAGTTACTCCCACCATGCCTGCTGCACTTGGAAATATTGCTGTTACGACAAACCTGCAACTCTTACAGTAGCGGTAGTAACAGCAGACGTCGTCACGCCGAACACGACAGACTGCTGCTGGTTCAGAGACTCGGCGAAAACACGCGCAGTCGATGCACGTGCACTAGTACCGAAAGGCTTTTAAAAGGGTGCCTTCTACAGGTAAGCATAGCTGCACAGACAACCGTTGGTATCGTTCAACCCAGAAAACCAGAAGCATCAGCTTGATCAACCCCACGGCGGGGATTTCTGTACAGAGTGCGGCGGCTTACAGCTCGGCGATCCAGACCTTCCTTTCTGGTGTTTGGAGCAAAGTCGCCTCTGCATTGGGGAAAGTCGATGATTCAAGCTTGGTGTTTTAAGTTAAGTTCCCCGAGAGAGACACCAGATCTGCAGAGAAGCCACAGACCATTCTGCAAGGCTAGGACTGACGAGCGGCTTGTTGGGTTGAGTACGAATCCAGGGCTTTGCGACTCTGTTGCTGCCCTGCTCTCGTCTAAGGGCTTCGGCAACAGGAGAAGGCTGGAGTCTGCTTGTAGAGGGAGGTGGGCACAGAGGTCTTGACTTTGCTGTCTTCAGAGCAGCGTCCCCAATAGAGGGACAGGAGGAAAGCTCAGAGCAAAAATACCCCGAGCTGAGTCTCCCAGCTCTGCTATGCTGGAGCTCGATGCTCCGAAGCTGAGAAGCGATCAGCTGGTCTCCCAGTGATCAGCCCCCCTTTTTTCGTGGCCCTTCAAAGTCTGGGCTTGCAATTCGGAATGCTCATCGACCCGTGTTGGTCTGGTGGTATTGATTCCGTCTTCTTCTCCGCTTTGTTTGGAGTCGTCTTTACCGGATCTTGGGAGTGGGAGCATCCCGGTCGCACGGCACCCTCCCGAAGGCAAGGCGCCACGTCAAATTCTACACAAACGCCGACCACCCGGCAGCTGCGCGTGGTGGCAAATGAGTATTGAGTATTGTATCTTACACAAACTTACACAATAAATTTGTGTCGGGCAGCTCGCAAAGAGACTACACTTCGGTTTGAGGCTCTGGCAAGGGCCCATGGGCTGGAGATGGTTCGGCGTCAGAACTTAGCAATGCGCTGAAACACGCGCTTCTTGAAGGTCCTCTCAGGAGCCCAAAAGCCACATGCTTTAGACAAGTACATCCCTGACCAGTCAGCTCAATGGATGCTAGCCGCTAGCCCCAATCAGCTGCACGTGTCAGGCAGCAAGCGAAATAGAAGTTTAGGTTTCTGAGTCCCGCTGGCTTTCGAAAAATCGCTGGCATGAACTGAAGTCGTGTACAAGGAACCATCACAGTGGCAGTAGCTAAAGCAGCAAGGGAAAGATGTAGCTAGCACCTGCTCGACATATGGCAACAGTAGTTCCATACACTGACTTCAACTGGTAGGGGTGCAGAGTTTCGGGTTTAAGGGCCTGGCCGGGAGAGAAGTAGAAGTTTGCGCTTTGCTCGAGTTACAGGCCTCATGTGCTCACGATTCTGTCACTGCCCGACACGGAACTATCCACACATACGGATGTGCGGGGCACATGGTCGTCTATTTTGTCTGCGGGAGGAAGCAGGCACCCACTCACGACATCGTGGCAGAAATGCTATCACCAACAGGATCGCTTCCACCCTTACTAACACTCACCATCAATCACAAATCATCCTCATCAGCGGCAGCAACCTCTGCAGCGTCATCATCGTCCTCATCATCCTTTTCTTCATCACCAACACCACGCAAACAATCACCATGGCTCCTGTCACCCTCACGATCAGTGCCAGCATCGTGACCACGGTAGTCATCTTCGTTGAGATACACATCACTAACAGCCCACTGGCGATGGACATCGACATCAGCATAGCCATCATCATCACCGCAGCATCATCATCAGATCAGGACCATTTTCACGGTGATGCACACGGGGACTGCATAATATAATATCCGTGTTGTCAATCACCAGCCTGTGTAGTCAGAATCTGCTGATGGCCCTTCACAGCTTTCGCAATGCTTTGCTGAACGACACCATGGGTTGGCACAGTCACGCTCTTCATGCCTTCACATGTACCGTTCTCCGATACCCTCATAGTCATTCGTCTCATTGTGCGTTAGGGTACGTGATAAAAGACGAGACATCAAACACCATACCTCGCCCACAAGGAATACCATAACGATGAGCGAAACAGATGACAACACAACAGCATCGTCAGGTGACGTCACAAAAATACTGCAGAACTGGATCAGTGCAATCCGCGTCGCAATCTTTACCATCGCCGTCATCACCACCATCGCCATCATGAATGGAAAGGTTCATCACCACCACCGCCATCGCCATGATCATGATGACCACTACCATCATCAACATCGCCATGAGCATCACAACCACCAAAGTCACCGTCATTACTGACGCTGCCGCCGACATCTTCGTCGTCTCCCGTCGTCATCAAGACCATTATCCTCGTCTTGCCGCTACTGGTGTTCCACATGAATACCTATCAGACAGAAGCAGAAGTGCCATCAAACCATTGACAGCTTCGCTACTGCGGTCAGCACCATCATCATGAACATCAGCAGCAGCAGCAGCAGCAGCAGCAGCAGCAGCAGCAGAAGCAGAAGCAGCAGCAGCAGCAGCAGCAGCAGCAGCAGCAGTGACAGCACAGCAGCAGCAGCAGCAGCAGCAGCAGCAGCAGCAGCAGCAACAACAACAACAACAACAGCGCCAACACCAACAGCAACAGCAGCAGCAGCAACCCTTTTGAACATTCACATCACGGTGCACACACATGCAAGATGCGGATGACTTCGCATTCCACAGCTCGCCTAATCTCATAATCCAGGTTGCTCCCCAGAATTCAGACCCTCAATCAAACATCCTGCAGCTCACCTCATAAAGGATCTTTCACATCATCACTCACATCACACTCAACGTCATCATTAAGATCATCACCATACGCATATAGAAGCCCTTTTCTTCGTTGACCAGAAGGACCATCACAATCACCATTTTCAAATTCATCTTCAAGACCAGAAGCACCATGGCCACAACAGCGACGCGGTGCTAGTTTCACCGTCGTCATGCGTGGTTTTCACACTCCAGCCGGAGTGGTAAAACAAAGAATAACCGTCTGACTTCTTTACAGCCTGCGACAATAAGCGTCTGACTTCTTTACAGCCTGCGACGTCTAGGATGCAACATTACGCCCTCTGAGAAGTTCTGGGCAGCCTACTGTTCCTCATCCACGGTTTCCTGGCAAAGGTCCAGGAAGCAAAGGCCGTCGGAGGGCTCGGGATGATCGCAGGAAGCCACCGGAATTCGGTGCAGTAGACGAAGGAATTCTGGAATCTCTTTCCACCATCAGGAACAGAGTTGCCCACAGTAGAAAGCAAGGGTTTGCACAGTGTGTCGATGTGTTGAGCATCGGCTGCCATGCCCTACCGTCCCCACAACCGCGAAGCCTGAGTTCTAACAATGCCAACCCCTACCTCGAACTCAAGACATTGCTCCCACCCTTCCTTTTTGTAGCTTGCTTTTGGACAAGATGGCGTCAAACCCTGTAGTGTCAGAGTGTATTGTTCACGATTCGAAGCATGCCAGCAGCTCCTGCAATTGCCCCAACTATCGCCAACTACTAGAACTAAGCGTCAAGGCACCGGGGACTTGCGAAGAGGTGACTGCACCGCACGGTGCAAGCGTCGGGCCACAATCATCTTTGATTGATTGAGGCTTGGAGACTGCTCTTTTTTGCTGCATCGTGGTGGTCGCGGGTGTCTTCCGATACAGTCTGCAGCTACCTTACAGTATGGCGGAGTTTGGACCGGCAGGTGCAGGGTTTGGGCTTGCAAGCTTTAGAATCCAGAGTGGGGAGCTCCCTGCGGCTGGCTTCTCGTAACCTTGAAGTTCTGATCGGGTCTATTGTCAATACGACGATGTCCTCCAATTCGCCTCCCCGGTCGAGAAAGGAATGTAGTGTACTCTGCTAAATGCGTCAGGCCTTGTCCGCTCAAGCCGTCCGAGCTCGCTACAAAAGATACTCCACACGTATCTCTTGAGGCATTGGAGCGCACTGAGCCCAAGTCCCGAGCACCAACTCCCGTTCACGAAGTCTTCAGAGCACAACAACCCTCCACCTTCTCACGCCGGCGAAATCGAGCGGGACAGGTCGGAGGAGTCCTCGGGAAACCGAGTCGGAGGTTAAAAGGGGCTCGGGGACTCCGAAAGTGCCCAGAGACCCAGCCCTATCCCAGACATCCGATCTCGGGCCCCTGCCGGCTTCTCGCAAGAGTCGTCCACCAGGGACCCACAAGAGGTGCCTTCAAGGGGGGGAGGGGGGAGGTTAGGGTTTTTTGCGGTTTGGGAGAGGTGTGGGCGTTGGTTTTAACTTCTGGCTCAAACATAGCCGTCTTGGAGCCATGAATTCGGCGACGCTCCCCTGGCTACCCGGGGATCCCGAAGGGATACCGGTTTGGGTTTAGGAACCAAGCGCTTCGGAACTATGAGGGTTTAGGGTTTCGGATTTAGGACTTAGGGTGTAGGATGTAGGGTTTCGGATTTTGGACTTAGGGTGTAGGATGTAGGGTTTCGGATTTAGGACTTAGGGTTTAGGGTTTAGGGTTTAAGGACCCAGGGCTTCGGGACAATTTGAAAAGCCGCAAACCCGAATCCCGAAATCCATGAATCCCTAAACCCCTAAATCCCTAAACCCTAAACCCTAAACCCCTGAATAACTGAACCCCTGAATCCCTAAACCCCTGAATAACTGAACCCCTAAATCCCTAAACCCTGCAGACCCTAAGCGCCTCAGAAAGCGTAAGTAACTTGCTGCCGGGCGGCTCTCCGAGGAACTCCGTCTCTTACATTTCTGGGCTACGACCTCCGGTGCAGTCGCGTGGGGCCGAGGGGTCAGGTAGGGTACGTAGTGTGTACGGTTTAGGATATGTGGGGCTGGGTCCCTAAACCCTAAACCCTAAACCCTAAACCCTAAACCCTAAACCCCTCTTGTCGGTCCGTCTCAACATTTCTCACCCCAGCTCCTGAAGGCCTTGGGGTGGAGATACGGGACTGGAGTTGGTAGGAAGAACTGAACTAAAGTCCTCAATTCTCAGTTCAGAAAGGCATGAAAACCCTAAAAACCCTGCTGCGACCCCGAACCGCACAACCCTGAATCCCAAGGCTTCTGACACCTATGTCGGGCCCCACCTGCACACAATCTGAAGATGAGAACGCCTCTTCAAATGTTCTGGCTGCTTTCCTGGGTTTAGGGGCTCTGGGTTTAGGGTTTAGGGATTGAGGTCTTTTTAGGGTTGGGTTCGACTCTTCTCTTTTTTTAGGGCAGGGATTGAGGTTTAGTCTCCAGGGTTTGAAGGTTTAGGATTCAAGGAGCGAGCGTTCATGGGTTCAGAGCTTAAGGCTGACGATTCAGGCCCGAGATTTGCTCCTTCTGCAATGCCTTTCGAGGATGCGTGGCCGTCTTTTCTGCACATGCCTGAGAATGCCATGCAGGATTGGAAGACTGATTTAAGGGCCTGAAGAATTGCCCAGATTGTGCCATAAGGATACTCTTCCAAATTTAGTCTAATTACCCAACACACGCATTCTACATACTCCGACCCTGTATCATGTTTCTGACAGGTGCACTACGCCTTGGGAAGGCTGCGCTCCAAGTCCAAACACCGCAGCTTAAACCCTCCGGCTGACTGAGGTTTAGGAGTTTAGGGCAAGTTTAGGAGGGGGTTTGGGGTTGAGGGGTTAAGCGGTTTAGGGTTCAAGTGCTTGGGGGTCTCACTTGACGACCTTGATGATGCGAATTGACTTGAAGTAGGATGCAAGGGCGACCGGCTCTGCCATCCAACAGTGCCTTCTCGCCCTTTAGAATCAAACCCTATGAAACCCTATAGGAACCCTGTTAGGCCTCAAACCACCGTATGAAAGACTGACAGAACAGCCCCTCAGAAAAACCCCAAGAAACCGACCCAGGATCCGAATCCCAAAGCCATGCATCTTCCTCACTTTCTGGATCTGGTGCGCAGACGGCCCAAGTGCCACTGTGCTGTGGGCACCGATGTGTAGGACCACCTGTGCCGATGTCAGAATGCATAGAATCCTCAGGGGTATTGGAGAACCCTCAGGGGTAGTGTAGGTGCAAGCTTTGTGCGGAACGTCCACACCCACACCCCGGGCCCACTGCCAAACCAAACCTCTCGGAAGCTGTAAAGACGCTAACCACCCTTGACCGTCATCTTTCAGCAGCAAGACGAGACAAGATGCTCTTTCGTCGTTGGCGATCACGAAGCAGCTGCCTGGCGACAGCTCGCTGATCCCAAATCCGAATCGTGGGCAGTTCAGCTGCTTTTCAAAGCCTCAACGTCAGAGTTTCCTCCGAAACCCGAGCCTGAACTCCCCACCCCACCGGGCCCAAGGACCTCTTCAGAGACTCTCCTGGCTCTCCTGCCCTCTCAAAGCCCTGGCAGGCAAACCCTGGGTTTCGGCCTTGCTCGCCGGGCAACAGCGGACTTCCTGGATCCTGCAGTTTGTGGAGCTATGGTCATTTTTGTTTGTGCTGGAGCTCCTCCTCTTAAAGTTGAGGGTTTAGGAGACAATAGCAGCAGCAGCAGCAGCAGCAGCAGCAGCAGCAGCAGCAGCAGCAGCAGCAGCAGCAGCACTATCGGCGACTGGCACCAGTGCCACCATTATGACAATTAGCCTGGACCCGGGAGACTCATCCCAAAATCCGCAATTCAAAACAAGCACGAGGGCACGCAATCAAACCTCAACGCGGTCCTTGGCGCTCATGCGCCATGTGACGCGCGTTGCCTCGGCCGGTGGGTGTTCAATCTTAACACTGGGCGGCATTGACGGTCAGGGTTTTAGCTGAGGCTGGGCTTTCGAGCTGAGGGCGTCAGCGTGGGCTGCGTAGGTGTCTCGAAGTCAGCAGAGGCTTCGCAGCTTGGAGGGTCGTCTTCGGACTTTGGGCAACGGCTTTCTTGAGCATCGAAGTCTAGAGGTCTGACAAGCCAGGATTCAAGTGAAGGGCGTCGGATGACCTTTGACTTTTACCCACGTGATCCGAAGCCCTACATACCATGGCACTGCCGTTTGAGGGTAGGGGCAGGGGTACCATAGGGCAGGGGCAGAGTTCACGCTACGTTAAATCTGTAATAACATTGAGTTTATGCACTTCGGAAACCTGATTAATCCAAAACCCGACAACTTTCCATGAGCCAAAAATATGATGTGACACTGCCGTCCAGGGGCGCAGTCGGACCAGAAATCCGCTATCACGCTGCAGAACGGCAGCTTAACGACCAGGAACCTGAAGCGCGATGGTGCCAAAGCGTTCTAGGGCGGTTACCACTTCACGGCGACAGTCACGAACAAACCACATCGAGCCATCTGCGACCAAAAATGCCTGTCTATACTGATAGAGAAGCGAGCGAGAGAGAGAGAGAGAGAGAGAGAGAGAGAGAGAGAGAGCCGGAGCCGGAGCCGGAGCCGGA